TATCGATTTCTGAATGAACCATGGTAAAACAAAGAATGGAAACTCGAAAAATTCTTCAAAAGTGAGCGCTAGTCTACTAACTAGCAAATATTTTTTTACTTTTTCCCCTAGTGCAGGCCAAGATACACAAGCTCACCCGAAAAGCCTGCAAGGGAAAGTATCTCAAGGACTAAGCCCATTAGCTCACTGCTGCTGAACTGAACCTTTTTCGTTGCGGGCCCTGCTGGCATTTCTTTGGCTGCTTTTGCATGAGAATGCTGCCGAAATAAAAAAGAAGAAAATGTAAAATACTTTAGCCAACATAAAGGCTACAGCTACACACACACACACGAATACATTCGCCTGTTTGCAGGATAGCAAATGTAAGTACAGAAACAACAAGCGAGTCTTGAACGTCGTCGAGCAAGTCAAGTGTATGAAATGTAACAAAGACCTAACGAGAATTACAGCCTCAACATGCACATGTACGGGAATAATGAGAAAATATCAAAAGTGCCCAGGCTCACGCACACACATTTAGTCCGTGGACTTGTGGACTTGGACTTGGAACCCGTCCAGTGGCTCAATGTCAACTTAAAGCCCTTGCAGCCCGACTGCCGCCGGCCACGACATTGAGGTTGAGAAAAGCCATTATTACCCCCCTCTGTACCTCCCCCTCCTTTTCCCCCTCGACAGCCTTCTCTTAATTTCCTTTAAAGTGCCGGCACAGAAAAAACTGACGCTAATGAGCTACTTAGGCAATGACTTAAGTCGTTATTGTGCTGCCGCATATCATCGCATTACACATTACATTACACACACGCACTGTTGGCCCGTAATTCGAGAGTAGAGCTAAACCCTTGCCAAGTCCTCGGTTTTTGTCTTAACTACTTGAAAACTTTCGCCGGGGAACTACGAACTGCGAGTATGGTAACTGGGTAACTGGGGGAAAACTTGCCCGTGGGCCAAAAGCCGATTGAGCCTCGCTTTTGATCCCCGGTCTCTGGCCATTTGTTGCTCCCATTGTGCGCTGACTGGCTGGCTGGCTGGCTTTTGTGCATGTTCCGTAAAATGGTATATAATATTCGATTAATATTTCAATAAAGTGTTTGCCCCTTTACGGATTATAATAAGGTCCATTGTGCGACCCTTTGCCACCGACTTGCACAAAGGACACAATGGCCGCCAGCTTGAGTTTGAGTTTCAGTTTGCCGAGCTCCGTGGGGCGGGCAGTGAATAATGTAGTTTCTTGGAATTAGAATTTCTCTTCTGGTCCTCGCTCCATTCAATAGGCGGGCTCCTTTGTATGTTTATTTGTAGATTTGTTGGCCCCAGATTGAGGCACTTGCTGGGCAAAATTGCAGTCATTACGGCGAAAGCCGAACAATGCCAGCTGATTTCGGGCCTCGCCGCAGGGCTCTGAATTGTGCCCTCTAAAAATAACAAGCGATCCCACGCACGCATATCGGGATACACCTCATTAGGTTCCGCATTAATCAGGGAGCGCCAACTTTCACCGCACTGCCTGCCAGATGATGTCAATTAAACGCGCCTGTCAAAATATTTTGTCCGCCCCCGCGGCTTGCAAACAAAAAAGGGAGCCAAAAATAGTTTGGCGTCGAGACAATCTCGAGTGGGGCCCCAAATCAGCGTCATCGCGCGCTCTAAAATGCTATTTTATTAATTAAATCGAGCAGGCAAGTGTCAAATCAGCGCCCCCACAACCCCGGTTAACCCGGTTTTCTGCCACCTCCCCTGCGGCTTGTATTGCGGTTCAATGTGCGACGATGACGACGTCGCCGACGAACAACAATTTTGTACATGTCAACATGGTGTCATAATTAAAATGTTCACCAGCCCGGGCCACTCGACGCGGAGGCTCGTTCTCTGCTCCTCCTCACCCTTCTGCTCCTCTTATTGGGCCTGCAAATTGGAGGTTTTACATGCCAACCCCGGACAAGGCCATTGCCGACAGCCATTTCCTCACAAAACCAAAAAAAAAAAGAGAACACGCCGGGAGACATGTTTAATGATTGGACAGAGCTGAACCGATGTCTCGTTACTGACACTGCACAGTGGAAAATCGATTTCAACTGGATATCTGGCAAGAAATTGAATGATATAATCTAATGAAATAAATTTTAAATTTAAGTGGGTTTTGAAATCAATATCTATATAAATTCAATCGCTGAAATTAGAAAAGGAAGGAAAGAAGAAGCTTTCAAGGAAAACATATCTGAAATTCATTAGTTAGGCTGTTGAAATGGCAATACTAACATAAAAGAAAATATAAAATAAATATAAGTATTTAAAAAAAAAAAAAACTATTGTTCTTGCTTTTAGCATTTTTTAAAATGTTTTCTGGAATAAAAACTTAATTTCTGCTGAAACGTTTGTAACGTTTTGTTGACAATGTGTATTCACGTCGAAACTTTATAATGAAAAGTGTTATTCTCTCTGTAGTTTGTAGTTGGCTGATTAGTTTAGCTTTTGGTTGGACTGCTCTGACTTTTGTTGGTCAAAACACCGCCCAGCTAATTTGAGTGCCCCGAGATAGTGATTCCGGAGGATGGGCGGTAATCGATGCCTGTGAGCGAGTGACACAAAAACCCGTGTCCGTAAGTGGCAAACTTTTGCCATTATAAATTGTCATTTTGTGCTGTTTAGACTGCTTAAAATTCGCTAAAAACATGTTTGCCCGTTCGCCTGGTTCGGCTGGAACTTTATCCGGGCCACTTAGGCTTGATTAATGTGCCAGCTTCTGCCGGCAAAACTGGACGCTGGCCATCGTAAATAAAAACGTTCCCTCCACTGGCCTGGCTCTTTTATTGTCTCAAGGTTAATTTGAATGGCAAACTTTACGTAAGCATTCTTCTATATTAGGATACTTTATTTCGTTCTGCTTTCGCTCTCCACTCTATTATTATATTCTGCTACTTTTTGTTCGTCTTTTTTATTTACTGTCCAACGAGTGTGTGTTTGGTAGTCGGGGGTCATTGTTGGAGGGGGGGGAAGAGAAAAATAAAAAAAATTAATCAAAAATTCTGGAGACAGGCGAGAGATTCAGATGGGAACGATATGGAGGGGAATGCCCTGGTATATTTGCATTTTCCATTTCGCTCCGCATTTATCATGATTGCAATAAATAATATTGTGGTTTAACCCACACGCTGACCATTTTATTCACTGTCCACAGTTTTTCTGTGTTTTCCCTGCCAGACAGTTAAGTTTTTAAACGTTTTAAACTGTTTTGCGAGCGTTTGGCACCACGAGTTCCGAGTTCCGTTGCGCAAAAAGGCCACTTTAAGGGGGAATTTCTTTGGTTGCTCTGGGGAAAGGCGAATCGTGTGCCAATAGCTGTCAGAGGAGGGGTCAGTCACTGTGATTGAATGTTCCACTCGTTGCCTTCGGTGAGTGACTGCATCGATTCCTTTTGAAGGACGTTTTCAATTTGTGGCAAAATTTAAAGAATTTTTCCCGAAAACAGAGCAGCAGCAGCAGTGGCAGCAGGAGCTGAAGCAGTAAAAGCATCAACAAGAACGGCAGTTTGTGGCAGCTACTGATGTGTTGTCTTGCCCCAGCAGAGGAATTTCTCTTGTGAATTTTCCAGCTAGTTTGTTTCGCTTTCTCCCCCCAAGCACACACACACACACACACACACATATATACACTCTCGTGTCTGAGGGTTTGCATGTAGTATATCGCTTGTGCCCCTCAGAAATTCAAATTCAGTAACCGGCAGAAGACCCGCATGATAATGCGCATATTTCTATGGATTATAGCCTACTTTTTGGGGCTGGGCTTGGAGCCTTCTCCGACTGTATTAGACAGTCGGGGGCTTCGAGCTGGTGGAATTAGACACACTCGGAATGTATCCACCACTCATATGCATAAATATCTCTGCGTTTATTCTCTGCGTGACCCGAGTACCGTGGATTGGGATGGGTTTTTGGTTTTGGGTTTGGGTTTAGGTTTTCGGGAAAAACCAACTAAAGCACCGCCAAACGATCTGACAATTGTGCCGGCAACTCGCAAAATTTGCATAGAGAGAGGCCGCAATTTTGCGCTTTGCATGTTGCTAGCCAAGCTTTTGGCAGCATTTTAGCCATTCGACGCTATTTTGTTTGCAAATATGAATACTCGGCAACGATGGCATTTATTGACGTGCAAAAGTGGCGAAATTAGGTTGGGAAAAGCTGCTAAAAATAGCAAGAGTAAATTACCAAGATATTTTGGGCAATTTGTGCATGGAGATAGCAAAATTATGATGATCCCAATAATTATTGGTACATTTCAAGACTTTTCTATGAGGTTCTAACCATAAAATTTTAAATTTATTAAAGCTTTGGGCATAGCATATTGTTTCGTCGGAATTGTATTTTACACTTTAAACAGGAAACAGAAAAAATAGAAATGGCATTTGTTGTTATTAATAAATAGAAGATCAGTACATTTTATAGAAAATATTCTTCACAATTTTAAGGTTTAAGTTCATTATCAATAAAACTTTAAATTTGTCCAAGTGAATCTCTATCAGTTTGTTATTTTCATTTTATCTTGTTTAACAGGCCCACAAGGTTTGGTTATATTTTTTTTGAAGAGCTAATATTGAACTTTTTCTGGCTTTTTGGTTCTGAAAGAACAATGAAAACAACTTTGTTTGTGTAGTTATTATAGGTTGTAGTTGGTTATATCGTAATCGGCTTTCATATCGCTGTTAAACAAAAATGTTTATAACAAAAATAGAACCACTTATTTTGGCTTAGCTATTATAAGCTTCAATTGACTATATTTGAATCGGATTTTATATTGCAGCTGAAGGGCAGCTATTCTAAACAAATCAACCTGAAAATAGCCAATTCGGCAGCACACACATAATGCCTTTCAATCCCACAGCCCGCCAGTTTTTCCATTGTTCGATTGTCGGTGCGGCAACGTCAATTGCGGTCAATTGGCGTCAATTTCGAATGGGATGGAATGGGATTGTGATGTGGATTGTTCCGGTAATCGGAGGCACTTACCTCGCACTTGGGCAGCGGTCCCTCGGGCATCTTCACCTTCCAGCCGAGCAGCGGCGGGATGCAGATGAGGGCGGACATTATCCAGACCGCCGTTATCATGACGGCGGCCCGCGCCGGCGTCCTTGACTTCAGATAGTCGACGGCCTTTGTGATGCTCCAGTAGCGGTCCAGCGAGATGAGGCAGAGGTTCATGATCGAGGCGGTGCAGAGGAGCACGTCCATCGCTGAGTGGATGTCGCACCACCAGCTGCCGAAGATCCAGTAGCCCATCAGCTCGTTGGCCAGCGAGAAGGGCATGATGATGAGGCCCAGAAAGAAGTCGGCCACCGCCAGCGAGGCGATGAACCAGTTCTGTATGTTCTTCAGCGACTTCTCCGTGGCAATGGCTATGATCACCAGCATGTTGCCCACCACAATGATGATCATCAGGATGGTCACGATAATGGAGGCGATCACGAGTTGGGTGAGCGTATAGCCACTGGGATACCTTCCATCCCAGTGGACTTCTGTGTGGTTCGGATGGGTTAGATTGCCCGATGTCCCGCCAGCTCCACCACTCTGGTTGTAGTAACCTGCCGCCAGCTGGAGACTGCTGTTGTAGAAGCTGCCATTGAGCAGGAATATCGTGTCGTTTACATTAATATATCCCGATCCCGGTGGCAGGGTCAACTGCCCATCGACACTGAGAAGCGGCGGATTGAGTGTGGCATTGTCTGGTTTTCCGGTGGAGAACACGGCCAGAAAGTCATCGGTGCTGATGTTGCCCGTATTGATGTTCGCATTCAGCCGGCCGTAGTCCATTGTGATCTTTCTGCTTTCGTCTAACTAACTTTTGTGGATGCGTGGCTAGCTTTAGAGTCTGATTGGTCCCATGCTGCCCGTGTGTTTACAATTAAATCTTATTGCGCGCGAAATTCCAATCGGTTTTATCCTAATAATTTAACTAATTCCTACAGCATATAGCATAGCATAGCGTTCGAATATTATTATTTCGATTATTTATACCCGTTTTGCACCGAAACTTGTGTGTGGCGCGCTTTCGTTCTCTTTCGAAACGCGCGCTTCTTCCTCTATGTATTTATTTATTTATTTATCGTTTTGCTTGGTGTTTTTTTCAATTTTTTGTTGTTATATTGTGGTCTAATCAATTAGAGTCTAGAGTATGTACAGTGGCGGATACACGGACACGGACACATAACAAGGCTGCTGGCTATTTACAGGAGGAGGACTGGCATTGTGGCTTGGCCGGAACACGATCCCATCGATCCGGCTCACATGGCGTATGCGTTACGGCTTCGCTGCTCGCCAACACATCAGTCAGACATTCCGCCCGCTGGCATCAATTTTTAATTGAATAACTTGTGCTCTTTCACTGAAACCGGAAAATAAATTGTGCGAATCTCTACTTGATTGATGATGCGCCGCCAATGGAGGAGACTTTTGCTTTTTTTGTTCCGCTTGATTTTCGATTCGATTTCGTCTGATTTTTTCATCTGGTTTTCTGTTTATTTACACACAAAAACGCGCGACCCGCGATTGTGGCCCTCAGTCAGGCGTTGGCATATTTCAAGAGAAACTGTTGCCGTTCCGGCTGCTTTTGGTTGGCTCTTTTTATTTTTATTGGCTGCTTTCGGCTACTTGGCCGACAGTTGGCGCGCCCGGAACACGTTCGCACCGCTGGAACTGCACATCCTAACTGAACGCCGTCCGCTGGCTGTTTCATTGCGGCCCAGCTTGCTACCAAAAATGCCGTCCACAATCGCCAGTTCTTCGTGTGCGTGTGGCAGCTTTCGTTCGTTCGCCTTCGTCGTTTTCCTCGAAGGGAAATTCTCTCCGACTCTCTCTCACTCTCTTTGGCTTTTCCACGGAAAGCAAGCATCCAAGTTGTGTGGTGGTCCCATGTTCCATGTGGTGGCTCATTTGAAATGCTCATCTTGAGTGTCCCGCACTTGCAGTGGTCGCCTTTGTTTACCTATTCCATTGGCAAGTGTTGCGGTGTCAACAGATTAAATTTCTGGCTGTGTAAACAGCACGGCAAAATTGTGCTCGTATAAATAACGCAGAGGGTAAATATGAACAAAAAAGCAATTATAAAATGTTGATATTTACATTTGCTTTTCTTTATGGGGGTCAATATTATTGTATTGTTATTTCGAATAACAAGCACTACACATCAGCAATGCAATAAAGCAAAATAAACTTGTTTATGGGGTAAATAAAAAATAAGAAAATGTATCTGTTAAAATTTAGATAAAAATTGGAATTTCTTTGTAACTTAAAACATTTATAAATGTTTTTCTTTTACAGCTTAAGCTCATTGCAGTACGGAGTGTATTAAAAGGTGTACGATATTTCACTATTAAACTCTAAAAAAAATGTAGAAATTATTTATTAAAAATGATGTTAAAATATTTATTTCCTTAACTAACTAATAAAGTTCAAGGCATTACTTTCATTCCGGCAAAATATGAACCCAAATAACAAAGACGTTATCTTGCAACCAAACTATTTAGTTTAGATATCGGTTTCCACTTGTCTTGCACCGCTTGTTGCCACTCGAAAACTACGTTCCACAAGTGCATGTTCACTGGGAAATTCATCGCTTTTCCGCTCTCCGAATGTTTTGTGGGGAAATTCTCTCCGGTCATTCGGTGTTCCGTTTCCCAAAGCATTCCCCACTGTGTTGCGCTCTGTTGTGCTTTGTTTGCCTTTGTCCCAGTGGCCTAAACCCAAAACCGAAACTTATTTTTGTGGCAGCACTTTTCACGTTTTGCCATTTTTAGGGGGAGAGAGCAGCGAACCCTTTTCCAGTTTTTCTTGTAAAAGCCCCTGCCTCGTGCATATGTTTGCCAAGGGTTGCTGTTGGCCAGATTCGCTGGCCATGTGTGCCACCTTTTGTTTACATTTTCGTTTTAACCCACATACGGGCCCGGTTTTCATGGCAAATGTTGGCCAGGCTCAGTCTTTAAACACTTCTAACGGGAATCCGGGGAAGGTAATAAAGGCGTAATGAAGCCATCCACCTGCAAAAGGTGTGCGGGCATCGAAAAAAGCGAGGACGGCGCACAACAGCCAAACAGCCAACATATCAGACACATTATGCGCGATAGTCACGTCTGCTGGGCACATAATTGAAAAGCGAACTTGAGCGTATCAATCGGGCAAACAGGTTGTTATTGCTTTTGCCTGTGCTGCCTGTGCTGTTGCTCCTTTCCTTTCTGGCTGCTCAATGAAATCAGCTAGAAATTATGATAATGAAAAAGCCAAGGCGCTGGATGTTGTTCACCTTCGCTACGCTACGCTTTTTATATCATCCACCATCGTCTTGTTCATCAAGTGTACACGGTGCGTATGAGTTATTTGATTATGTTAAGCATACGTCTTGGCGCTGCCGCGCATAATTTCAAATTACGCGCAGCACACATCAGCATCCAAGCATCCGGGCATCTGAGCATCTTACCATCTTAGCATCAACATAATAAATCCGAAAAGGCCGCTGCCAGACAAACAAGCTAAGACCCGCACATGCACCCACTTACTCCACTCCCCTTCCCTTGGATACCCTCCACTTCGCAGAGTGACAAATTCCGGAAACAACAACCGACAGCGGCTGAAACTTGGCATCGGGCACTCATCTCCAATGCACGGCGCAAGATTGCTTGTCAGGCCCTGATTATGTTAACTGCCTACGAAGGTGCCGCCGGATCAGAACTCGGGGTAATGAAACACGCGTGATTTCTCATCTTGGACTTGCTCGTCTGTTTCAAAACTGTTTTTAAGAGGAATAGAAATTTAATTCTACAAAAATTATTCCAATAAACCATGATATTTTATTAAGATATCATAGATAGATGATTTACAAATATAATAAATAAATATATACCATACATTGATATGGCAATATATTCATCTGGAACAATTACAAAGAGATTTCCGTATCAGAACTCAGGGTTTTGAAACACGTGAGATAATTCATCAAGGACTTGCTCCTCTGATTTGAAAATACAAATTTAATTCCAAGAAACGTAGTTTGAAAATCTATGATATTATATTTAAATTCTAACATATGGGTTATAAACAACTTAGTTCAATATAATAATATAAATAATTAATTAGGACAACTGATTTGGTTTGTTTATTAAAACAATCGTTTAACATCTGCAACATATTTTTATAAACCTCTATTCTTAAGACTCGTTTTCAGGATGCAAAAAATCTATCTGATTAAAAATAAAATGATCGTGATCATAATGACGATCACACACAGTATTTATCGATTTCTTATAGTACTCATATAAATACAGATTGTGTGACATAAGAAAGTTTAACAAACATACATACATACTTAATATATATGATAAATATAAATAAACACTATCCATGTTTATTTTTAAGGCTTTAAAAGATTATATTAATCCTCTAGAAAGGATTTTCCCCCTCTGAATACATAATAAAACTTGAAATATTACAATATCCGAGCGCTGTGACTTGGTGACTTGCAGTTTGGAGTGCGTTCCCAGTGCATCGCAGCTACAGATTATTCACCGACTCCGAATGCGCATACATTAAATTATATGCACATATATCAGGGATGCAACTGCAGTTGCTGTCGCTGCAACTTCTCCGGCTGGCTCTTCATGCGTCACGCATCCTGCCAATTGAGGAACTCCTAATGGAAGACGACTTCCATGCCAGAACCCAACTGAACTGCACTGAGATTTGCTGCGGCACTCGCCCCGTCCTTTGTTGTAACTGTGCGATATCCACTTTTAATTCACCGCACGTTTTCCATAATGAAATCGGATTTGTGGGCCGTGGGAAAATGTGGGAAAAGGCGGTGAACAGAGAAGAGGAGGTGGAGGTGGAGGGTGGGCCCATAAATTGAGCACTCAGCAGCACGCTGCGCTTTGTCACGGTCCAAAATGCTGCGACTGTGCCGAGGAAGGTCCCAAAAATGTGGCAGGGCGGATAATGCCGCATTTTGAGGAATGCTCAAATGCAGCACACTAATGGCAGCAAATATATTATGCCCGCTTATCATTCGCATTAGCTGGCAAAATTGTAGCCAAGAGATTTTCGCATGCACGCTGTGGAAGCCAGAAACCAAAAAAAAAAAAAAAAAAAAAGAGAAAAAAAAGAACGAAATGGTAAATGGCAGCATTTCGTGGCAGTGAGGCAGGAAATTGCTCTACTCATACGCACTGTGGCCCCGTCTGCTGCATTATCTTAATTTAAAAACTCGCTACAGCGCTAAGGCTGTCTGCTCGTTTGCCGCCGTGTTTTAGTTTCATTAACTCGGCTGAAAAGCCATTTATCAAGCTGTCAGCAGCAATTATTTATATCCCCGCCACCAGGTCCACAGACCGCTGAGAAATATTATAGAAATATTATCATGCCTTGGCGGAAGGCGCGTATAAAATTAAAACAATAAGTGCGTCGGATCAATCCGCATTTGGCGTTAAATGGAACGGCAGTCGCCTGGCGTTAAATGCGCAGCGAAATTAAATTAATTGCCAACCCTTTGGCCCGCTCGGTGTTTATCGTCAAACGATTTAAAGTTTTAATCTCTTGACGCATTTAACCGAATGGCCCAAGGCCTTCTGAACGGCATTAGCTTGGCAATTAACCAGCAGCAACATTGGGCAACATGTGCCGGCAATGCCCGAGGACTCCGGAACGCCTGATCCCAAAGCAGCTCGGTGTGTTATATACGAGTATGGTATGTACATACATATAGTACGCCTGGGTTGGCCCGACATTCAGGAAATTCGAGGAGCGGCCTACATGGCCACAGGAAGTGCATAGTTGGCCAGGCATCTCGCCTGGCAGGAGCCGTAAATCTCGCCCCTGTAAGTCGAGTCGTAAGCCAAAGTTTCGGGGCCAAGTTGTCATAAAATTTATGCGTCTAATTACTTGCACTTTTTTGTGTAGCTGGCTTTTCGTTCTCCTCGTCTTGATGGACCCATCGGCGACGTCATTTATTATTTTTATGTACACAACGAACGTTTTATTGACACGACGGACGATTGGCTTTGGGGCTAAGTCAATAAGGCAGCGACAACTCAAAAGACTTTGCAAAAAACGGGGGGCTGTCATTAATCTTTCGTTTTTGGCCAAGTTGTGCAGCTAATTGCGCCATTTTCATAGGTCTAGCCTCCAGTCAGGGTCGTTTGCCTTCCTTCTTTGGCTCCTTCCACTACTGCCACTTTGCTCTCCAGTTTCCCTTTTTCCCATTGCTGTCTCAATTTTCCCACCCCCACACCAACTCCCCACTGACTGGTTTTCATATTTCCATGGCCAGTGACCCAATGCCGGTCAACTAAGTATTTACAAAGGGGACCTCGTGACTTTAATGCCCCGAATGTTCATCTAAATTTTGTGCGGGCCGGGACGGAAATAAACAAAGCGTCAAAAGGAAAAGTAAAATACTGCTGGTACTGCGGCGGCCAGGTAAAATAATCGGGATTATTTATGTGGCTCGGCAGAAATTTGCTTACATATTACACTTTTTCAACATTCTTTTAATTAGCTGCGCTGACAACAAAACGAAAAGTTCCAAACAAAAGCGGCGCAGCACAAATGCTGCGCCCGAGCTGAAAAACAGGTAATAACCGGCGAAAGGAGGTGGTTTTCGGCGGGCGTTGAAGGTGGGGGTTGAGGTGGGGGTTGAGGTGGGTGGTTGGGTGGTTTTCAGTG